ACGGAATTTTGAACGCCCGGGACCCCCCCCCCCCCCCTCCCCCTCCCTCCGCCCCTCGCGTTGTCGCACGAAAGGCCCTGCCTGTAGGCGAGACTGTATTCTTCGAGAGGATCCCCAAGCGAGAAGTGCGGGATAACGTCCCCTACGCCGCGTTCACTCAGACGTGCCAGTGCGGGAAGATCTGGGAGCACGTGACGACGACGTGGGCCAACCGGGGCTTGATGATCAGGGTGAGGAGGGAAGGACCGAATATTATGTATATAGTATACTGTTGGTGGTGGGGGGTGTACTCATAGTCGTGCATGCCCTAGTCGTTAGACCATTGACCTGTTGGTGGTGGGCGTGATAAAAAAAGAACTCGAGCCAGCCGTGTGCGAGGAGGGTGTGTATAGAATGTAAAATTGTTCCGAAACGTGTCCCGATCAACAACCAGGATAATTGTGACGAAAAAAAGAAATCTATCTATCGGCCAACGGTCTTGCACTCTCGCTCTCTCTGTGTTGGAACGTCTCCTCTGGAACCTCCGGATCGCACGAACGAACCACAGCAAGACCCAAGGGAGTCGTGGGTTGTGCCTGCAGCAGACGGGCTTACACCGCCCTCCTTAGGAACGGGAAACGAGGTGTGTGCTTCGGGGGCTGCAGGAATGGTTGTGTAGTATGTGAATCACGGCAGGGAGGAGTGTCGGGGTGTCGACGCGTGTATGCTATCATCGGCGAGATGGCTATGCGCGAAATGGCCGTCATCTGCTAAAAGTATGGTTTTCTCGGCGGCGCGTGTCCTGCAGCTTTATGTCGCGAGACAGATTCTTGGTCGATCCTCTTTCCCCCGCCAATATAAAGGGGACGTCGAATTCTGAACACGGGGTCACAGCAGGAGGAGCGTTCTTAAATACGGGCCCCGTCAATAGACGCTCACGAGTTGTAACCCTCTAAAAAAAACACTTTTTCCTACGCTAATGCGTCCCCCACCCACCGCCACGGGGTCCCGTGTTTGTATTGACGGAAAGTTTTGGCTGTCTTGCACTTTGTTTTTTTGGTGCTGTGTGTCCTCTCGTTCGCGCTAAACTAGACCTACCTCGCGGAAACAGCGGCGCAGCTTCTTGTTTCCGACGACGTTACTCGAGGGGTCGCCAAAGGCGTTTGCCGGAGCAGGTAAGAAGAGGAATTGAGCCTGTTTCGGTAAGATTCTTTGAGTAAGCGAAACGCTTGCCGTACCTAGGGACTGCTGCATCAAGCACGACGACGACGACGTCGACCTCACTCTATCGACGAAAAAACTGCGCTGCGAAACTCACACTAGGGTGATCATACAGAAGTAGGGGATTCACCTCACCTTACAAATTTTGGTAGGGATACAGCTGTACGTATCTTGTCGGCCGCGTCCTATTTCGCCGTAAGATTATCAAAACAGGACCAGACGTTTTCTCCCCAAAAAGTGCAAGATTTCACGCCAACAAGTGCACGCTTCCCCTTACCGCCGCATCACCAGTCAATAGCAGCTCGTTCGGCTCGTCCTGTTCTTGTATGCGCTCGTCCGCTCGTGGTATGCGTACACACGTACGTGCGTGCGTGCGTGCGTTGCCGTCGCAATGAAACACAGGTGCTCGCCGATGGTGCCGACAGAGGAGTGCGTCTTGGAGGGTTTCTGTTGAAGGCACGTCGTCACTGCGTCAGAGTCTACGAACAAACGTCGGAACCACAAAATGGACTGAACATGTTCGCGACGAAGTATTAGTTTTGTCGTTGGCGTTTTGTTGGGGGCTCGGGACACGCGCGCACGTGGTGGGCATGGACCGTTTCAACAAGAAAAAAAACGTGGACCACCATGAAGCGTGGCTGGCTGTGTTTCTTTGCCGTGCCAGGGTCAGTGCTGGAAAGCTTGAGCGTGCGAATGGGGTGGTGGTGGTGCACCTTCAAAAAAGGAAACAGATCGGCAGAGTTCGAAGGTGTAGGACACGCTACATAAGTGTGGTGTACACCTTCGACGTTTGTTTTCGTTCGGTGTTGTTTCCATCATCATCGTGATGTGATTAATCAACTATTTCAGCGTGGCGATGTAGCTGTGCACAAGACTTTTTTTTAGTTGTCAAGAGTGTGTGGCGTGGAGTAAAAGGAGGGTGGTGGGGCTACGGCACCACCAAACAAACCTTACCTATTGTTGCGCGGGCGTTGACAACTAACTCACTCGCGGTTGGATGGGGGGAGCGCCTCGTTGTTTGCCGAGTTCATGAGGTCGGAGTTTGATGGACATCCCTGCGGGCAGTGCTGCAGAAGGACAAGTAGTAGCTGTTGTCTCACTTCCAGAAGTCACGTCCACACCATCGAAAGTCGGTCGCTGAGTCTCTGTGTTTTTCTTTTGGGGGGGGGAGATTGTCGTTGACGTTCATGTTGTACAGAGGGAGAGAGGTGGGTGGGGGGGTGGACGTTGGCATCGGTGTCGTTGACGGGGGGGGCAAGAGTGAGTTGATCGTTGACTGCAACGTGCTTAACTGGGGAAAGGAAGGGGGGCTGGAAATAAAATTGATCGTTGACATATGTATGTGTTGTTGACGGAGGGGGGGAGGGAGGGCAGGAGAGAGAGAGTTAGTCGTGGGCATCCGTGCTGTTCAGGGTGGAGAGTGAGTTGGTCGTTGACTACAACGTGCTGTAGAGGGGGATAGGAAAGGAGGGTTGGACAAGGAGTTGTTCGTTGGCATATATGTTTTTTGCGGGGGTCGGGTTTTGATCATTGTCTGCCGTGTCGTAGAGGGGAGGAGGGAAAGAGAAATGGTCGTTAGCTGGAGGAGGGAAAGAGAATTGGTCGTTAGCTACCATGATGTAGAGGGAGGGGTAAGAAGGGAGGGGTAAGAAGGGGTGACGGAGAAGGAATCGACCGTTGACTGCCGTGATGTACGCGGGGGGGGGGTGAGGACGCTGAAGTACAGTAGTTTGTTCGTCACGGTTGGCCTCACGATTGACAACGGAGAAGGTTTGAGCTCGCTGTCCCCACTGCGAAGTAAAGTATCACATGTAACATAAGGATAGGCCAATGAGGGCGTCGATCACGCACAACCGGCCACCACTTGATAGGAACCTCCTTTTTGTTCGCGAGGGTCTCCATGCTTGTTGTTTTCTCCGTGCTTGGAAGGATTTGGGGTGTGGGGCCCTTAAGCGGGCGTCACAGTCAGTTTCGTGCTCAAAGACTTTCTCCTGCCAGGCTCTTGAGTGTTGACCAACTCTGTACTGCAAATTCGTCGTGGTCGAACAGACAATCACGATACCATAAGTTCGCTTGTTTCGTCCCAAAAGGGCGCAGGGGTCGAGTGATGGTGCGCTCCGCTCAGCCAACCTCTACGACACAGACTGGCTTTAAAACGGATGCGTTGAGTGGCGTGGAGTCATGTTGATCGCGAGTTTTCTCGTCCGATGATGATCTGTGTGATGAACGTGCGACGGGGTTGGTTGTGTTTATTTTGGCGCGTGCGTGCTGAGACTGTTTTTAAGGCTCATCGTTCAAGACTGTATGATATCCGTGCTTGTAAGCTGTGCGGTTTTCCCCGCTGTTACCGTACGTACGTGAAGGCTCTGGGCGAGAGAGAGGTACTGATGACTTCAACCGGGGCCACTTTGGGTGACGTCGCGGTGTAGTTTGGCATGTACTGTACAAATCTTATTCTTCGGGTGGTTACTGTGAGGAGGCTTTCCGCTGCCCCACACCACCCCCGACACTATTTTCTGCCGTCTTAAGTAAGGTAGACCACAAGAAAAAACGAAAAACGCAGCGAGCGGTCGGTGTGTAGTGTTGGTAGCGAGGAGGAGAGCAGCAAAATCGACCTTTTTCTCTCTGAGAACCGGACTTCCCCTCAAACATGCTTCACTCGTACTACCCCCTTTCGACCATGCGAGCGGATAGCAAGGCACGCACGTCGGACGAAGGGGGGCGCGGATCAATGGCTAGCCCTTTGTTTCCGGGACAGTTTCAACCAGATATCATCGAAGGCGCGCACTTACGTACGTACGTGCACAGGATGAGACCACACTTTACCTGTGGTTGGTGGGGGAGTTGGTAAGGGGCAGCGCGCTTTGGTGCGGGCATCAAGAAAAAAAGAGTGCGGCAAGTGCGAGGCGGCGGGCGAGGGGGCACGGTTACTCTTCTCATGGATACCGGCCGATACTCGTTTGCTGCGCCTGTGCTTGCACAAGCAACGAAGAGGGCGAAAGTCGCTGAATGTCGCAAAGGGTCAAGATTCCTGGGAAAATACCTTCGGTGTAGCGGTGTGTGGCCTTGCCGGTACGGCGCGACAAAAAAAAAAGCTCGCCAGCTTTAGTTCGCGGGTGTTTAGACCATCCCCCAACACAGAGATCATCATTTACCGGGATGAAACTTGGTAATTTGCACACCGCTGTTGATCACTCGGAAGGGGGCGATACTGCTCGGGCTCGTGTCGAGCCCGGCCATCTGAGGCGACGCGTGAACCGCTCGCCTGCATGTAGGCGGCGTCAATATTCAACCGCGCTGCATTCAACACACGTGTCATGCAGGCATGCCACACTAATCGTTGGTCTTTGCTGCTGGGTTGTACCAGCTCTCACTTTGTTCTTCCACCTTCAAACATCCATGCTGCCTCTTCCAAGGCAGCATCGCGCACGCAAATTACAACACCCGCCCCCGTTGACCTCACCCAAAATACGTTTCAGTCACATAAAACCGCAAACACCATGCACCACACCCAACGGACTGACTAGCAGCAAACGCGACAGGGAGCAAGGCGAAGGAGTACGCAACACGCTTTACACGAGAGGTCGCCGTACAAATTGGAACCTGGGAGAGTTTTCGCACGATGGGGATGACCTCTGTCCCTTGCCCGTCAACAGCCCACACTTTCGTCACCAAAATGTGGCGAACAAGGCTGCTTTTCGAAACATGCCTATGTCTCGGCTGCAAAGTAGCCCTTCCCACGCAGACATGCACGTGCTTCTCACGGAAACTGGACAGAGCAAGACCACAGGCTGCGTGGATTGCTGCGACCGTTTGGGTCTCTCCTCCTTTGATTGACGGGGGTTTCGTCTGCTGCACCACACTAATGGTGCCATGCTACACTGAGAAACTTAGAACACCACCAAGATAAAACTCCAACGCCTGTAGAATTCTTGCGCAAAGATGCTACGGGAGAGCGTGGGCGCAAAACGACGCACAAAGGAAACATTAAAGGAGACAAAAAAAAAAAAAAACAGCACGCTCAAGAAGACCCACCCCGTGTCCAGATTTCCGGACGCTTTACTACACGGTTACGCCGCGATTTCTGCCCCCGCCCCTTATTCCCCCGCCAACCACGTTCCAGGCTAGGCCGAACGCATCACAACAGGCATATCGAGCGTGCGACACGACACTACGGACGACGTTCTCGACAACGAGAGATGACAAAAACGCTTGATGTGCGCGATCCCTAGAGCCAAAACTCCGTCCTTCGAACCCCTCAAAACCTGAGATCCCCACAATCGACGAACTCCATCATCTCGGCGAAATTGCAAAACCTGATTGGGCTAGGCATGTTTTTGGAAACTTGTGAACACGATGTTGCAAAAATACGGGCGAATTCCTCGATTGAGAAAACTCCAAACGACAAAATTTCGGGACCCAAATGCTCCTACTGCTGCGGCATAACGACTCATGGGGTTGGGACGGGGGGGGGTGCCGCTGCTGATCCAAGCACTACATCCCAACCGCGTGGCACCCAAGCGCCAGCAAGCGCGGGTAAAAACCACAACAGACAAGCTCCCCCACAGGTCCCTCTCCGGTCTCTGCACCCCACAAGTACGTACGTCCCGCCTTTACTACGATTGTGAAGCCGCCGCCGCCAACGTGCCCCCTCCCCCATCCTCCACCTCCCCTGCTGCTATTGTGCGGTCACCGCCAATCTGCCCCCTCGCCCATCCTCGTCTTCATCATCTTCTTCTTCTTCCTCCTCAGGCACGGCATCCTCCTCTGCGGTCTGGAAGAACGTGTACGACAGCGTCACGTTGTTGACGCTGTCCATGGCCGGGTCGTCGAGCATCTCGGGGTCCAGGAAGAAGAAGACGGGCATGTCGATCTCCTCCCCGGAGCGGAGCCTCTGCTCCTCGAAGCAGAAGCACTGGATCTTGTTGAAATAGATCCCTCCCAGAGAGAGAGGGGGGGGGGGTGGGTGGCGTACTCTTTATGTTTTGCATGCCTTAGCGGTTAGACCATTGACCACGCGTCCTCGAGAGGACGGAACATTGTTCCCACGGGACCGATCACCGATGGCCAATCGTTCCTCCCTACTTTGCCAAAGGTGGCTCAAAAATGTCTTCCCTAGTCTATCTATACTAGCGAAGTGGGGGGGGGTGTACTCATAGTCGTGCATGCCGTAGTCGTTAGACCATTGACCTCGCATCCCTACAAAGCCGGGACGGAGCACGCCGGGTTCTCACCGGACCAGGCTCTCACATCACCAAGCGCGAAGCGCCGTGAGGTATTTGGCGAGTTGCATGAAGGGTGAGCTGCATCCTGCTAAGGGTGTTCGGCATCTTGTGCTTACTTCCTTGCGTACGGATGACATCTACGTATGACTTA